GGATTCCTAACTTTATTGACAAGCTATATACAGGTTAAGGATTCCTAACTTTATTGACAAGCTATATACAGGTTAAGGATCCCTAACTTTATTGACAAGCTATATACAGGTTAAGGATTCCTAGCTTTATTGACAAGCTATATACAGGTTAAGGATTCCTAGCTTTATTGACAAGCTATATACAGGTTAAGGATTCCTAACTTTATTGACAAGCTATATACAGGTTAAGGATTCCTAACTTTATTGACAAGCTAAAAACCTGTTACCTACATCAGGTCATTTGAAAGCATTTTCGTCACGAAACATACAAGTATCCTCCCCCTCTCTTTCAGTAATGTTTATTTAAACATGACTTGTAATTTCATTCATTGATCGTTATCACTGTTTCCAACTTCTGCTACTAGTTATAATGTTATTACTAGTAATTTTACACTGCTACCACTGCTGATGTTATCGCTGTTGCTTCTACGACTATGGCTACTGTTGTCTCTTTTATTACTACAACTACTGCTACTTACACTACAACTACTGCTACTTACACTACAACTACCGCTACTTACACTACAACTACCGCTACTTACACTACAACTACTGCTACTTACACTACAACTACTGCTACTTACACTACAACTACTGCTACTTATACTACAACTACTGCTACTTACACTACAACTACCGCTACTTACACTACAACTACTGCTACTTACACTACAACTACTGCTACTTACACTACAACTACTGCTACTTACACTACAACTACTGCTACTTACACTACAACTACTGCTACTTACACTACAACTACTGCTACTTACACTACAACTACTGCTAATTACACTACAACTACTGCTACTTATACTACAACTACTGCTACTTACACTACAACTACTGCTAATTACACTACAACTACTGCTACTTACACTACAACTACTGCTACTTACACTACAACTACTGCTAATTACACTACAACTACTGCTACTTACACTACAACTACTGCTACTTACACTACAACTACTGCTGTCGCTACTTCTATTACTACTGCTGATATTAATATTACGTCCACACTATGTATTACTGCTACACTTATTAGTTTATTTGTTATGAAGGAAAATCACACGAAGCTACCATTAAGCATGTAATATCCCTGGATATTTATGGTATTAGATACGACTTAGTTGCGGTTTTTAGTGAGAAGACGTTTAGCCCATTAGAAACTTCATCAGTCGATGGAGTCCCCGGGGCACGAAACGTCTTCTGAACAAGACGCCATCAACCGCACATTGAGTGTTATCAGCGCATACACACATGTGTTAAATCTGTCAGTGGTGTAGTTAGTTTTCTCGGTATCATTGGGGAAGGGGACCAAGAATCCCCTCCCTGACTCTGAACCTTGGCCCAATTGTCAAGGAGGAGGAGGGGATGAAGACTCCAATCCTGGGTTTTTGGCAGACGGCGGTGAAGGGCGAAAGTGAGGTACTGAGAGCTTGAGGTCCATTTTATTTTTTCCTAGCTTAAACTTCATTCCAGCTGCGTATCATGGTGAGCTCAGAGCTGTTCTCTCCCTCCTTCATTGAAGGACGATTTGATGTCGTAAAACTTGAAGCAGTAAGTGCTGTTTTTTCTGTATTACTTTATGTAGGTCCTTCCCAAGGTGAGACCGTGTTCATCTTAGATGTAGAGAAAGAGAGAGAGAGAGGGAGAGACTTCTCATTGCCACAACAACTACTGTTCATATTACTACATGACTTTACCCTCTCAGTGGGTGGAACACGTGAATACAGTGATAAATATTGCCACTACTGCTACTACTACCATTACTACTACTACTACTACTACTACTACTACTACTACTACTACTACTACTACTACTACTACTACTACTACTACTACCACCACCACTACCACCACCCCAACTGAAAATGGTACTGAATTTAATTATGGTCAAGGACCTGGTCATGGTCCGGAACCTGGTCATGGTCAGGGACCTAGTCATGGTCCAAGACTTGGTCATGATGAAGGACCTAATCATTGTATTGTGACTTTTTTCAACACCACCACCATCACTACCATTACGAACAAGCATTCCCTCTACTATAACCACCTTTCCCACCATAACTACCACTATTCCCTTACCATAACCACCACAATCACCACTATTTCCCTCCACCATAACCACCACAATTACCATGATTACCACCATTATTCCTCACTACCCCAACCACTACTATTCCCTACTACCATACCCACCATAATCACCACCATAACTACCACTACTCCTCACTACCATAACTACCACAATCCCCATCATTACTACCACTATTCCAAACTACCATAACTACCACAACTATAACTGTTCCCCACTACCATAACTACCACTATTTCCCTCTACCATAACCACCATAACTACCACTGTTCCCCACTACCATAACCACCATAATTACCACTATTCCTCACTATCATAACCACCACAATCGTTGCCGTAATTACAAATAAAAACATGTTACGCCGAAAACTCACACATACGACAGACCGGAGCGGCGAGAACAACATCAGGAAGGCAGGAAACACCGACAACAACACTGACAACGACAACAACAACAGCAGCGACAACAACAACAACAACAACAACAACAACAACAACAACAACAACAACAACAACAACAAAACAACAACAACAACAACAACAACAACAACAACAAAAAAAATAATAATAATAATAATAAATAATAATAATAATATAATAAAAGAAAGAAGAAGAAGAAGAAGAAGAAGAAGAAGAAGAAGAAGAAGAAGAAGGAGAAGAAAAGTTAGAATGGCAATAATGATAACTATAAAAATAATAAAAATAAAGCAATAATAATAATAACTATACTGACAACAACAACAACAGCATCAATAATAATAACAATAAACATAACAACAATAATAGTAATATTTGTAATAGCAAGGAAATTACTACTAGTAGGGTAATAGCAACACTAGGAGCGCACACCTTTCCCTGCAATAATCACTGGGTTACCTGGGTATAACAGCAGCACAATCACAGGAGAGTGTGTGTGTGTGGGCTCGACCTCCGGAACAGAATCATTTACTCCTCCCCAGCAACACAGGTTCCCACCCAATTACAGTCAAATATCTCCATCCGTTTTCTGGGTATTCTCTCTAAGACCACACAGACGAGCACACGCACTCTCGCTCAACACACAACACCACACACACACACACACACACAACACAACACACACACACACCACACACACACACACACACACACACTCACACACACACACACACACACACACACACACACACACACACACACAAACAAACACATAGAAGAGGTATGATAAAATTCATGGAGCAGGAAGAGTGACCCAGTAGCGATTAGTGAAGAGGCGGGGCCAGGAGCTATGGCTCGGCCCCTGCAACCACAACTAGGTGAGTACACACACCATAAGCAGTTACCTAGGATAGATAAACATGAGTCTACTCCAAATGAATAAGAAAGAGAGACAGAGAGACGTCATGCGGCAGAGTAGTAAAAGGCCAACTCGTCAAGGCTTACTTTTACCATATTTATACTCGACGAAGACCTGTCCGAGACACGGAGGCTCCCACGGTAGTGTACGCAGGCGCTGAGAAACTCACCAGAGGAAGAGAAATTATCCCCACGATAAAAATTATTTCCAAAAAGCCTGAAAAAGACGAGCAGAGTCCGCAAGAACCGTTAGTGGTCACTGGAGTCGAAGATGACAGGGAAGGAAGACCAGGTGTACCATACCAAAAGAAAGGTAGTGAAAAGAAGGGGAACTACGAGTGAACAGTGAACTTATTCCAGTACAGTCATATGGAAGGGATAACCTAAGGGTGCATTCGTGACACTGATGAACATAAATGTAACACCTTTTAACCCCTAAAGCAAGATTCCTTCAGGGAAAAAAAAAGAATACAGTACTTATGAAATGACTGCGTTGAAGTACAGGAGGGACCCATTTATAGGGCAGATTAATTAAGCTCCGCGCTAAGCCCAGAAGGCTCATACAACGCCTCTTGACTAGGAGGAAATCATGTCTGATCTAAGGTTGAGAAGGGCATTTCCATCATGGGGTGGAGGTGCCTTGAGGCGCCTCCTTCATGGAAGGTACATCGAAAAACTTCCCCTCAAGGGTCAAGGCCCAGGAATTCGAGCACGATCCCCGAATAAAACGAAATTAGATAAGGACTCAATCATTTCTCATAAAAACGACACCTCAACATTCACTACTTCCCATGGTCCTGTCAGTCACGGAATCAATTCAGAAAAAAATACACTATCTGAACGGCAACGTTAATAACGCCACCTACGAAAAAATAATCAACAGTACATATCAGGAACCATGTTAAAAATAACGGGACTCTTTCAACAGAAACGAGCAGCATACATACCCGTAATAGCGCAACAGACAGAATGATGAGCATTCTTCCAATTGCTCAGACAGTGGAAAACCCTCCGGAAAAAAAAAGACAGACAACAGAAGGCACCCTGATTTATAAGGGTCATTATACGATCACTAAAGTCTCGTGCCCCGAGTCAGCAATGTTACTAATAGCAGGGAAGGTAACAGCATTCACAAAGAAACGGAAAACGCTATCAACTTCTCAGCAAACTGAATATGCTATTGTGTTGGGTGATCAAAGCACCAGCATTCTTAGGTGTTGATTTGAGTTTTTGTAGTTTTTAAGAAACACTGTTCCATGTTGTAAACTGAAGATGGGAGGTCCTAGCAATCGAAGGTTGGTTTACCGCACGAAAGGTAACGGCACCCACAGCGAATCAGCTGCATTAAAAACGGCTCAGATTCTAACGGCACCGATCCTAAAAACCCACCTGAGCAGTACTCGCTTACAAAGGCACAAGGTAACTCCCACGCGAACAATTGGAAGGCTCCAGTGAGGGTCCTTGTTGAGATGCCAATTAAGTGTGCTGGAGGGGGTATATATGACACTGTCCGGCCCTCTACCGTCTCACTCTCAGCGACAGTGTCAAGCACTCACACGCGTTCTGACACTGTCCCACCTCCTTACCGTCTCACTCTCAGCGACAGTGTCAGTCACTAGAACGCATCCTGACAGTCCCCACCTCAACCGTCTCGCTCTCAGCGACAGTGTCAAGTACTTACCCTCACCATGAAACTCGTAAGTACAAGAGCCTCTGGGAGTCTTATGAAGACACTCTCCAGTGGGGTATACTGATGCCTGTTAAAAGGTTCTTGATATGAGGAACCGGAGCTAGTCTTCCCTTTCTCGGATCAACCCTGATTACCACCTATTCCTCAGGCACTTTACATGATTATTATTACTATTATTATTATTATTATTATTATTATTATTATTTTTATTATTATTATTATTATTATTATTATTATTATTATTATTATTATTAACATTATTATTATTATTATTATTATTATTATTATCATCATCATCATCATCATCATCATCATTATGATATTTCGTGGTGGAGTGCTGAACCCTTAGGGGTTATACAGCGCCTGAGGGAACGGAAGCCACTCACGGGTGATTCAAGGAACTGGAGGAGCACAGGTACAAGCCCTTACAAAGATCAAGAGCCTCGTCACTAGCATCAAGGAACCTCCCTTCAGGGATCAGGCACTGTGTATAACCTGTGCGGTTTTAGTCTCTCTCTCTCTCTCATCCTTGTCGTTTCCAGGTGATCGTCGTGTGTGTCGTCGCAGTGATCGTTGCTGAACCTCAGATCGACCGAGGAAGAGGTGTCGGTCGTCGAGGCCGGGGTAGACAGATCGGTCTGCAGGACCAGTTCGGTCTTCAAGATCAGGTCCAAATCCAGCCTCAGGTTGGTCAACAGCAGCAGCGTTTGACCAGTCGACAGCGCCTGGTCACTAGACGGCCTCAACTGATTGAACAGGATTCGTTTAATCGACAGTCTCCCCTCAGTCAACAGCAACAGATAAATCAACAGTCTCCATTTAGCCAGCTTTCCCATTTGAATCAGCAAGAAGAGTTCAGTCGACATCCTGAATTTAATAGACAGCATCAGATTAATCAACATTTGCAAGTCACTCAACAGCCTCTCGTCAGCCAACAGCCGTCGATCACTCGACAGCCTCAGTTTATTACACATCCCCATCTGAATCAACAAGAGGAGTTCAGTCAGCATCCTGAAGCTAGTCGACAGCCTCAGGTCAGTCAACCTTTGCAGAGCAGCCGACAGCCTCAGATCACTCGACGGCGCCAGTTTAATCGACAGCCCCAGATAAATCAACAGCTTCAAGTTACTCAACAACCTCAAGGCAGCCAACAGTCTTTAGTCAGTCGACAGCCTCAGATCAATCAACAGCCGCCAATCATTCGACAACCACAAGTCAACCGACAGCCTCAAATCAACCACCATCTGTTAGATAGTCCTCAACCTCAATCCAGCCAACAGCCGCACATTAATAGACATTCTCAGTCTACCTTTCAGCCGCTGGTCAGCCGACATCCTCAGTTTAGTCGACAGCCCCAATTTAGCCAGCATACTCAGGTCACCCCACAGCCCCCAGTCATTCACCGACAGCCTCTGGCCAGTCCACAGGATCAGTTCGTTCGACAGACATCACTGGATCGACACAGCCAGGAAAACCACCTGTCCCCGGTGGATCATCCAACCGTCGGCTTGGGTCAGCCAAACATCGCTATCCTACGAGATGATCGCCAGAACCCCGAAGATGGGAACTTCAACTACGAGTTCGAGTCTGAGAACGCGATCAGCGTGAACGCCGTCGGCAGCAGAGGTTCTGAGGGCCAAAGCATCGTGGAAGGATCGTACAGGTGAGAACTCTTAATTATGTCTCTCTCTCTCTCTCTCTCTCTCTCTCTCTCCATTTCTTCTGGACCCATTACTTACACATATTTTATTTTCCCCCCTCAGATTTCCTCTCCCAGACGGCACCTTCGCTGAAGTTCACTACATTGCCGACGAGAATGGCTACCGGGCTGAGTCTCCATTGATCCCTACGCCCCATCCGCTCCCGGCCCACGCCATCGAGCAAATCCGCTTCGCCGAAGAGCAGCGCGCTCTTGAAGCTAGTGGAGGCCACCAGAACTTCTGATCTTACCGACGTCAGAAACTTCGAAGGTCTTATAAAAAAAAACTTCCCAACTCACTTCCCGACGCTACCACAAGAAAGGAAGGAAGTCCTAAGGTGGAATTCAGCTCACTTTCTGAATTGACTTCCACTTCTTTAAAATCACTACCAAAAGACATTAATAAAATACGTAATATAACAATGTACTGTCACTTTTCACATGTTTTGACTTCCGCTTTTATATAAGTTATTACTAGGTTGTTCAGTGTCGTCTCTAGCAGTGTCTTACAATCATAGCAAAACATGAACGAGAAAATACTTATACAAAATAATGGAGTACCTGATTATTTTTCCAAAACCTGGTAAAAAAAAAAAAACCTTCTCCAGTAAACATGAAAAAAGGTCATCCAATATATGTCGGGGATACATACAGTTTCTAAAACAGATTGAACTATATTCCATGGAAGAAACCTGGAGGAATATCGAGACAAGATAAGATAAGATAAGATTTCGTTCGGATTTTTAACCCTGGAGGGTTAGCCACCCAGGATAACCCAAGAAAGTCAGTGCGTCATCGAGGACTGTCTAACTTATTTCCATTGGGGTCCTTAATCTTGTCCCCCAGGATGCGACCCACACCAGTCGACTAACACCCAGGTACCTATTTGCTGCTAGGTGAACAGGACAACAGGTGTAAGGAAACGTGTCGGAATTTCCACCCGCCGGGAATCGAACCCGGGCCCTCCGTGTGTGAAGCGGAAGCTTTAGCCACCAGGCCACCGGGCCTAGAAGCGTAGATGGTTAAAATACCGACGAGTGTGAAATACAACACACGGGCGGTGGTAGGATATATTATTGAGGAAACGTTTCGCCCCACGAAGCATATGTTTTATTATATAAGAACCGCAGAACACAAAGTGATCTTTAAGATGTACACGAGAAGGCTTGGCTAAGTTTCACCATGTTAAAAATGTTCGAACATAGCAGTGACTGAGAAATGTTCGAACATAGCAGTGACTGAGAAATGTTTGAACATAGCAGTGACTGGGAAATGTTCGAACATAACAGTGACTGAGAAATGTTCGAACATAGTAGTGACTGAGAAATGTTCGAAAATAACAGTGGCTGAGAAATGTTTGAACATAGCAGTGACTGAGAAATGTTCGAACATAGCAGTGACTGAGAAATGTTTGAACATAGCAGTGACTGAGAAATGTTCGAACATAGCAGTGACTGAGAAATGTTTGAACAGAGCAGTGACTGAGAAGTGTTCGAACATAACAGTGACTAAGAAATGTTCGAACATAACAGTGACTGGGAAATGTTCGAACATAACAGTGACTGGGAAATGTTCGAACATAACAGTGACTAAGAAATGTTCTAACATAACAGTGACTGGGAAATGTTCGAACATAACAGTGACTAAGAAATGTTCGAACATAGCAGTGACTGGGAAATGTTCGAACATAAAAGTGACTGGGAAATGTTCGAACATAACAGTAACTAAGAAATGTTCTAACATAACAGTGACTGGGAAATGTTCGAACATAACAGTGACTGAGAAATGTTCGAACATAACAGTGACTGGGAAATGTTCGAACATAACAGTGACTGGGAAATGTTCGAACATATCAGTGACTAAGAAATGTTCTAACATAACAGTGACTGGGAAATGTTCTAACATAACAGTGACTGGGAAATGTTCGAACATAACAGTGACTGAGAAATGTTCGAACATAACAGTGACTGAGAAATGTTCGAACATAACAGTGACTGAGAAATGTTCGAACATAGCAGTGACTGAGAAATGTTCGAACATAACAGTGACTGAGAAATGTTTGAACATAGCAGAGACTGAGAAATGTTCGAACATAGCAGTGACTGAGAAATGTTCGAACATAGCAGTGACTGAGAAATGTTCGAACATAGCAGTGACTGAGAAATGTTTGAACATAACAGTGACAGAGAAATGTTCGAACACAGCAGTGACTGAGAAATGTTTGAACATAGCAGTGACTGAGAAATGTTTGAACATAGCAGTGACTGAGAAATGTTCGAACATAGCAGTGACTGAGAAATGTTTGAACATAGCAGTGACTGAGAAATGTTCGAACATAACAGTGACTGAGAAATGTTCGAACATAGTAGTGACTGAGAAATGTTCGAAAATAACAGTGGCTGAGATATGTTTGAACATAGCAGTGACTGAGAAATGTTCGAACATAGCAGTGACTGAGAAAATGTTTTGAACATAGCAGTGACTGAAGAAATGTTCGAACATAGCAGTGACTGAGAAATGTTTGAACATAGCAGTGACTGAGAAGTGTTCGAACATAACAGTGACTAAGAAATGTTCGAACATAACAGTGACTGGGAAATGTTCGAACATAACAGTGACTGGGAAATGTTCGAACATAACAGTGACTAAGAAATGTTCGAACATAGCAGTGACTGGGAAATGTTCTAACATAACAGTGACTGAGAGATGTTCGAAATAACAGTAACTAAGAAATGTCTAACATAACAGTGACTGGGAAAAAAATGGTTCGAACATAACAAGTGACTAAGAAATGTTCGAACATAGCAGTGACTGGGAAATGTTCGAACATAACAGTGACTAAGAAATGTTCGAACATAACAGTGACTAAGAAATGTTCGAACATAGCAGTGACTGGGAAATGTTCGAACATAACAGTGACTAAGAAATGTTCGAACATAGCAGTGACTGGGAAATGTTCGAACATAACAGTGACTGGGAAATGTTCGAACATAACAGTGACTAAGAAATGTTCGAACATAGCAGTGACTGGGAAATGTTCGAACATAACAGTAACTAAGAAATGTTCGAACATAAAGTGACTGGGAAATGTTCGAACATAACAGTGACTGGGAAATGTTCGAACATAACAGTAACTAAGAAATGTTCTAACATAACAGTGACTGGGAAATGTTCGAACATAACAGTGACTAAGAAATGTTCGAACATAGCAGTGACTGGGAAATGTTCGAACATAAAAGTGACTGGGAAATGTTCGAACATAACAGTAACTAAGAAATGTTCTAACATAACAGTGACTGGGAAATGTTCGAACATAACAGTAACTAAGAAATGTTCTAACATAACAGTGAGCTGGAAATGTTCGAACATAACAGTGACTGAGAAATGTTCGAACATAGCAGTGACTGGGAAATGTTCGAACATAACAGTGACTGAGAGATGTTCGAACATAACAGTAACTAAGAAATGTTCTAACATAACAGTGACTGGGAAATGTTCGAACATAACAGTGACTAAGAAATGTTCGAACATAGCAGTGACTGGGAAATGTTCGAACATAGCAGTGACTGGGAAATGTTCGAACATAACAGTAACTAAGAAATGTTCGAACATAAAAGTGACTGGGAAATGTTCGAACATAACAGTGACTGGGAAATGTTCGAACATAACAGTAACTAAGAAATGTTCTAACATAACAGTGACTGGGAAATGTTCGAACATAACAGTGACTGAGAAATGTTCGAACATAGCAGTGACTGGGAAATGTTCGAACATAACAGTGACTGGGAAATGTTCGAACATAGCAGTGACTAAGAAATGTTCTAACATAACAGTGACTGGGAAATGTTCTAACATAACAGTGACTGGGAAATGTTCGAACATAACAGTGACTGAGAAATGTTCGAACATAACAGTGACTGGGAAATGTTCGAACATAACAGTGACTAAGAAATGTTCTAACATAACAATGACTGGGAAATGTTCGAACATAACAGTGACTGAGAAATGTTCGAACATAACAGTGACTGGGAAATGTTCGAACATAACAGTGACTGGGAAATGTTCGAACATAACAGTGACTGGGAAATGTTCTAATAAATTATACTCGCTGTGATTAAACTAGAAAATTTACTTAATTATTTTATTCACCGCCGCTGTCGTGAATTTCAGTATCACGTAGACACTGGTGACCCGACCCGCTGACGGCAGCTCAGAACTCGAGTTTCTAACCATCTCAGCGTATAATTGAGAATTGGACAATTGTTGGGGCAAACATTAGTTTCTGGACATCAGGACACACGCCTTTGAGGGAGAAAACCCCAACTAGGGACATCGCTTCCACAGCCCTGGTCAGTTACTCCTCAGAGACACGGTTAGGTTAGGTAAGGTTTGTTAAGAAACAGGACAAGTGTTTCCTAACAAACGGGTCTCAGTCATATAATGACCCGCCACTGGAGGTTTTGGTCACCTGACTGAGGCTTTCAGCTGGCTCACCGGCCCACCCTTTTAAAAATTAATGGTTATTATTATAACTATTATTGATTATCTCAAAGACAAGGAGCTGAGACTAATAGGTACTCTGTCCTCTCTGCTCACTGTCTTAAGACGCTTATGAGCACACAGAAGAGTACTTTATCTGTTCACATTGTCGGTATGAGAATATTATATTTGTACTTCGTCTTTCCTTAACTTTTTACTCGTTTAAGTTTTTGATTATCATCATGTAGTGATTATGTTCTTACTTTGCAAATTAACGTTTCGTAATTATAAATTTTATCTGTTCCTGAGGAACACAAACAACAGCAGTATTTGTTCAAGTGTAGGATAGACATTAAAATGTACAGTAACTGAATCGCATTTTATTCACTTTTAACATAACTGTACAACATTCATGAACATTCACAGACAATTGGTAACTGAAAAGGGTAATCACGTCGGGGGAAGCCCGGAGACTTGACAGAAGATGTGTCAGAAAGCGGTGGGTCCAGGCGTAGCCAGCAGACATGTCTGGTCCCATTGGAGTCGAAAAGCGGTGGGGTCAGACATGTCTCACACACTCTGTCTTATTGGAAGGTGATGCCCTGGGCGCGCTGTTCCTCAGCCACGCGGATCTGCTCGATGGCGTGTGCGGGGAGTGGGGGAGACGTGGGGATTAGGTCGGACTGGGGTTGGTAGCCGTTCTCGTCGGCAAAATAGCGGACCTCAGCGATGGTGCCGTCGGGGAGGGGGTACCTGAGGAAGAAAGGAAGAAAGATAAAATCAGTACTAAGGAGGAGGAACGGGCCCGTAATTTATAGATTCAGGTGTGATGGTTGAGAGAGAGACAGGTAGAGAGCGAGAAGGAAAAAAAACATACGCACGCACCGCAGCCATAACGTCCATGGCAACGATTAACACAATAACGAGTATGTACGGTCATGACAACGTACATTACTCTCAAGGAATAATACTCAAATCACTGATGCATTACACTGCTTGCGGGACTAATACCGCAAACATCGATACATGACACAGTTTGCAAGGACTGATGATCTAATCACTGACGCTTGTTACAGCTAACAGAGAATAATGTTCTGATCACTGATGTATGATACTGCCTGCGAGGGAACTTTACTTTTCAACATTCTAAACTTGTCGGCAGGTACCTGTGTGTTGAATAATTTATAAAGTGAGGAGGAGGAGTGGGTGTGTTGCCAAGTGTGGACATCTTCAGTGACTCGCCTCCACACCTGCACTGTAAAGTGTTGTCAGCATGTACAAGCTGACAACACTTCTCTAAACGTGAGCAGAGAAAAGAAATAAAGAATGAAGAGGAAATACTGAGATTAATAATAATAATAATTATAAATCTTTATTTCTACAAGTCCGTGATACAACCAATAGAAAGTCCCTGGTTATGCAGAGCATTTCGGGTAACTTAGGTTATTATTGTCCCCCAGAATGTTACCCACAACAGTCGGCTGACGTCTAGGTACCTACTTACTGCTAGGTGAACAGGGACAGCAGGCATAAGGAAACATATCCAACGTGTCAGTCGTGCCGGGAATCGATCCCTGACCATCAGTGTGTGAGCTGAGGAAGCAATTAACCAAGCCACGAGCCCTCGAGCTGGAGCAAGGCGCTAGGCGGTGACAATACACTATATTTTTATATGCATATGGAGAGAGCAGATGACAACAGGAAAACGGAGAGAGGGCTTTTTACAATTAAAAGAAATGGAAGAGTCTGGTTGATCAGACCCTGATCCACCAAGAGGCCAGGCCACAGACCCTGATCCACCAGGAGGCCACGTCACAGATCCTGATTCACCAGGAGGCCAGGTCACAGACCCTGATCCACCAGGAGGCCACGTCACAGATCCTGATTCACCAGGAGACCAGGTCACAGACCCTGATCCACCAGGAGGCCAGGTCACAGACCCTGATCCACCAGGAGGCCACGTCACAGATCCTGATTCACCAGGAGACCAGGTCACAGACCCTGGTCTACCAGGAGGCCAGGTCACAGACCCTGATCCACCAGGAGGGCAGGTCACAGACCCTGATCCACCAGGAGGCCAGGTCACAGACCCTGATCCTCCAGGAGGCTAGGTCACAGACCCTGATCTACCAGGAGGGCAGGTCACAGACCCTGATCCACCAGGAGGGCAGGTCACAGACCCTGATCCACCAGGAGGGCAGGTCACAGACCCTGATCCACCAGGAGGGCAGGTCACAGACCCTGATCCACCAGGAGGGCAGGTCACAGACCCTGATCCACCAGGAGGCCAGGTCACAGACCCTGATCCTCCAGAAGGCTAGGTCACAGACCCTGATCAACCAGGAGGGCAGGTCACAGACCCTGATCCACCAGGAGGGCAGGTCACAGACCCTGATCCACCAGGAGGCCAGGTCACAGACCGGGCCGCGGGGGCGTTGATCCCCGAAACTGTCTTCAGGTATATTCCAGGTATGCTATAAAAGCAGTATACAGAGACTGGGTGAGAAAGAAGTAACATTAGAAAGAGACGGGGATGAGAGAGACGTAACATGAGAAAGAGACGGAGAATGAGAAAGAAATGAAGACGAGAACAGACATAGATCTGGAAGCCAAGAGATAGAGGAAAGATTGGGTAAATATGCTACGTTATTCATGGGAGGAGATACTTAAGAAACCGACCACAACTCCTGCCTTCCAGGACACTGGAATTATTATTCAGGCTATTTTGTATACTTCTACATTCTTATATATAATACATTCTTGCGTATATTGAAGTCGGGCCGATATTAGTGGTGCATATATATATTATATTCGTGTGTTATGTTTCTTGATATGGCGATGTGATTGGAGAGAATATCAAAACAAAAATCTGAATTGAAAGACTCACCTTAAGTAGTGATGAATATTAATTTGGCTCTTAGAGGCCTAAACACATACCTTGAAGAAGCTCTGAAAAATCTAAGGGTTGATCTGACGACTCGCTGAATGACCTAAGGACTCTCCCGAAGACGCTTGAGACTCACCTAAGGACGTCCTGAATGCTACTCCGTCCCTATGAGACCTCAATACTTTTCCGATGCCGCCCTGGAAGATCTGGGGACTCACCTGTAGACACCTTGAATGTTGCTCTGCCCTTGAGAGCCAGGGCTGCCCCTGGCACTCACAGCGATGCCGTTCTCGGTCTCGAATTCGTAGATGAAGTTGCCGTCGCCGCTGTCCTGACGCTCGTCCCTCAGGATGGCGATGGGACGAGACACTTCCTGAAGGTTGAAGTTCTGGGGAAACTGAGGCGCGGCGGTGGCGACGGCGGCCAGGCAAGCCAATACCACCTGGAACGAGACGACAACAACCGTGTGAAAGACGCTTTGAGACAACCGGGTTCAAGAGACAGATCACTGTAGTAAATCCATTGAAACCCCACTGTGGCAGAGTCTCTCTCTTTAAAGTGTTTGCGACTAAATCTATAGAAGAGGAAACTAAGGGCTTGGTGGAACGCTTTCACTCACGAGCTTCATGTTGAGGGCGGTGTGTGGGTGTGTGCGGGCTGGTGGGTGATGACAGAGTGGGCTGGTGTGGGCTGGGGCGAGGCCTTATATACCCAAATCCAGCGGTCAGTCCTTTCCAGGTAAGGTAATCTGTAACGGCCGATGGAAATCCCCTGTCAAATGGTATTCCCAGACGCCTGTTTCTGAGATACTCGAGTTTACATTCATGAGGGATGCCTGTGAGTGAAGGATGCTTGTTTGCTAGAGTGAAAGATACTAGTGTGCTTGAGTGAAGGATATCTGTGTGTGTACTTGAGTGAAGGATATCTGTGTGCTTGACTTGTACCCACTGGAGCGCAGGCGAGAAAGATATATCATAATCCACACCTGGAAGATTCTTGAGGGACTGGTCCCTAATCTGCACATAGAAATCACTCCCTACGAAAGCAAAAGATTTGGCAGGCGATGCAACATACCCCCAGTGAAAAGTAGGGGCGCCATTAGTACACTAAAGAAAACACAGTAAGTGTCCGGGGCCCAAGACTATTCAGCAGCCTCCCACTAGTCATAAGGGGCATTACCAGTAGACCCCTGGTTGTTTTCAAGAGGGAGATGGACAGATACCTAAAGTCAGTGCCAGATCAGCCAGGTTGTGGTTCGAACGTTGGACTACGTGCGGCCTGCAGTAACAGCTTCGTTGATCAGGCCCTGATCCACCAGGAGGCCTGGTCATGGACGGGCCGCGGGGGCGTTGATCCTCGGAATGCCCTCCAGGTAGACTTCAGGAAGGTTGTGTGCTAGAGTGAAGGATATCTGTCTGTGCTTGAGTGAAGGATAGCTGTGTGTCTGAGTGAAGGATTATATATGAGTGAAGGAGAGAAGAGAGAGAGAGAGAGAGAGAGAGAGAGAGAGAGAGAGATGTGGTTATGGTCTGATGTGATTGTTAAGAGCTCCTGAGAGCTTCCAACAACTTACCTTCAACTTCATACCTCTGCAGCATCAGCCTCACTGCATCCCTCATCCGGTGTTTCATTATACCACCGTCCCAATGTTCTGTTGTTCCACTGTTCCAGCGTTGATGTGTTCCACTGTCTTGGCGATCCATTGCTCCAGTGGTCCACTTTTCCACTGTTCCAATGTTCCCGTGTTCTAGTGCAACCATTCTCTTTTATTTATGTATTTACTAGTATTCCTAATGTTATTTTATTCCTGCAAATATCTCAGATATAATGTGTGCAAATATGGGGTCCACATCTATTGCAAATTGTGCAAAAGTGTTGATCCCGGAAGTATACTAAGGGGGATACTCAATGTATACTGGTCAGGATGGGGAAATAATACTGGTCAGCATCGCCATGAAGAAAATAAAACTAATTCTCATAAAAATATATTTAAATTTTATTTCTAATTCCGTGATTAATTTCACACATAAACCTGAAACGATGTTCAAGATAAACGAAGCTGCAAATATTTAAATTCTATATAATACTACTAAAATAGCATTGATGTTTACACTAAACATTAAACAACAATTAACGCAGTTGCAGTGTTAATGCAACTAAACATTAACTAAATACAGGTACTGTACCGTGCTCCATAAGGTACCACTTTATGCTCCATGAGGTACCACTTAATATTAAATAAGGTACCACTTAATGCTGTCAGCACAAAGCTCCCTTGTGTACATTGTTAAGCCATCATTTACAAGCAGTACATAAATTATTTTTATCAGAAATTACAATCGAGAGACTTGGCAAGAAATTCAAACACACAGAATCTCACCAAGAAACTACTGAACAGGATTATAGTTATGTGTTTTTAGTCTAAGATATTGCAAAGTGACGAGCGGTTGACATGCCACAGAAGTCAGGCGCCTGGAATCATATGTTTAAACTACTGAACTGGATCAGATAATATTTGAAGGGTATCAAGACGTCGTCCCGGAGTGAGGAGAATCTGGGGGAAGAGCAACCAAGAACCTGGAACTCCAAGAAGAACTCATTTGTCTACGAGCTATATTAAACTAAGTACTATAACAGTAAAAAAAAAAAGCAAATCGTATGTGACACACACAAAACGCTACATACAGGATATATTAATATTTAAAACAATTCCTAAAGAAGCCGTCTTGGTAAGAATAAAATGAATATTGGCGACCAAGAGAATACCTATGAAAAAGTCGATCAAAATCAAAGAATATTTTCACGTGAATATGAAGACTGGAAAACAGTCTTACAAATTAGCAAATTCTTTGTACGACCAAACTTATAACACAGTAGCTAAGCATGGACACCATATATATTATATATATATATTTATATATATATATATATATTATATATATATTATATATATATTTGGTAGGTACCACCTCTAGAACTGTCCTGGGGACCCTCATCCTCAGAGAAAAGAATAAACTTGCTTCAGGGAAAAACTCAAGGTTCTCCTGAAGCTGTTTGAGAATTTTCTCCTACCACCCCTATATTTCAAGTATGTTTTATTTAAAGACAAAATACATTGGCCAAACATTCACAAAAATACAACGAAAGTAAAACAAATAGGTAACTCAGAGCTACATCTCGAATACTTCGTCCAGCTCCCTGCGGTGGGCCGCGTGCCAGAATGCTGCAGGCATTTCCTCTCTGGATCGCAACACTGAGTCTCTGAAAGAGGAAGCTGGTCGCCCTGTGGTCTTGGTTTCTATGATGAGCTTTTCACCCAGCTCTTTGAGGAACTTTAGAGCACACTTGCCCCATGTTCCAAGGGTCTCCGACCCTATTGGAATGAAGTTATAGCAAGGGGGAAGGTCTTCATATTTTCAGATCTTCTGGGTTTCCCTGTGCTGGCAGCTCCACCCCCTTCCACTACAGAGTATGGCAAGTAGGTGTCTGCCAATTGTGTGCAGCACGGTGTTAGTCCCAGGCAATCTGCTTTCCATCCTTCTAGGGTAGCATAGTGGCTCCATCAGGACGCTTTTGACTTCCATCAGACCTCTGTACTTGGGGTTCCCGTTGAGCTGGGGCAACGGGCTGTGGCGAGGCTTCTCTTTATTATGTCATTGATTCCTCATGTCTGGCATACTTCCTTCTGCTGTGGTGGCACACGAGACCATGAAGTCCGAATTGATCAGCTGTCGCCCTGCCGCAAATACACCTATGTTCGGTGAGGATGGGGGCGGCTAGGCGAAGAGCAACACCAATCCGGATGGCCTGTGGGTCGAGACGGGTGCCCAGGGAGGAATTGGGAACAGCTAACAGGAAATCTCATGAGTGTGGTGCCTTCACTGCCAGGAGACGAGCTTTGTTCTTTCCTGAAGCATTGGAGAGCATTGTTGGCGATTTTTTCCATGATCGGTTTGTCCCAGTGGGACTGTTTGTGCTGTTTGGGAGGAGCTGGTCAACTGGAGGAGTCTGTAAGGGTGTCCCACCGAATTGCTGCTTCAGTAAACCTGGGGTCTGAGCTCCTACCAAGTCTCTCAAGCGTTCGGGCACTATCTTCTTGACTAATGCACTGGAAGCCAAACACGAAGACAGAAAAGCAGGTAAAGCAACATGCGTTGCTTTACGCACCCCTATACCTCCCAGTAATATATATATAATATATATAATATATATAATATTAATATTATATATATATATTAATATATATATATATATATTATATTATATATATAATATATATATATATATATATAACACATATGTATATATTCTCCATGGCTAAGTGGAACAGAATTCTTCCTCCCTAAGCCATGCGTGTTGTAAGAGGCGACTAAAATGCCAGGAGCAAGGGGCTAGTAACCCCATCTCCTGCATTATATTACTAAATGTAAAAGGAGAAACTTTCGTTTTTCCTTTTGGGCCACCCCGCCTCGGTGGATACGGCCGGTGTGTTGAAAGAAGAAAGAAATATATACACCACACACACACACACACACACACACATATATATATATTTATATATATATATATATATATATATATTATATATATATATATATTATATATATATTATATATAATATATATATAATTATATATACATATATATATATATATATATATATATATATATATATATATATATATATATATATATATATATATATATAAATTATTAACTTATGGTGGCCAAAATTATACTAGCAATACTTAAAGTTGCATAAAGAATAAAAATCTACAATACCGTGGCTGGAACAATGCGTCAAAACCCGCACCTAGAATAGGAACCTTGTGACGTGGCGTTACGGTCCCTCCTGGACCACTAAGAGCCCATCCCCTGAGGGCAGGTTCCTCGGTACACCCGGGGGACTCTCGATTCAAGGAACTGGATATGTCCGTCCCTTCCTTGGAGTGAATCTCATTGCCTCCCATTTAACCTCCTCCCTCCTCAAGTGGCGCTGAATGACTCTTGCTGGTTTAGCGCTTTCCTCTAAATAATAATAATAATACACCACGGCAGAACAGGCTGAGAGTCACTGGAACGACACCTCATACACGACGCAACTGGACTGACTACACAGGAACATCTAAGAACTCGAAGGGAAGACTATAAAAGAACTTTGAAGTACACCTTAAATGCTCCATTACAAAAAAATGGGGAAGTATTTAGAGCCAACGACGGGATTCCTGTATTTTTATTCAAGTTACTAGAGACGGTGGCCGGTAGATAAATCTAGGTAAACACAGTGGAGGTGTTACAGCGGACATGCTAGTGTCGTGAAGCCTTGTGAACAGGGTTTCATATACCCTTTCTCCTGTAGCTGGAAAACGGGTTTCCAGTGAGTCCTCAGAGACCGATGCCCCTCGGCATTGTAAATTAGTCTGGGATAGTTGGTGAAGGAAAGGTCAGTACGTGGGCCGTGGGCTGGGATTGTGGGTGAGGAAGGAACAGACTGTGGGCCTCAGGCATGACTGTGGACGAGGCAGGAAAACAGTGAGCCTTAGCAGGGATTGTAGGTAAGGAATTTACATTACTTAGCCGTGGGAAGGGGTTGTGGGCAAGGAAGTGACAATCTGTTGTGATTCGGGTTGATTAAGTTGTGACTGTAGAAATGGTCACTAAAATTCGATCATTTTCTTATCACTCTAGAACCTCTCGCACCGTAAGAGGTTCCGTGGAGGCGCTGTAGGTCAGTGACGCCGACCTGGTCAGGGAGAGGCTGCTGGAGAGTGAGAGACAGCAAAAATTACTCGCTCTTCATTTGTGTTTACTTTGGTCAAATTCGATACCCCGGCAGCGCTGTTCCACGATTATGCAGATCTGTTCGAGGGCGTGGGCAGGTAGTGGGTGGGACGTGGGCAGAAGGTCAGATTCTGGCTGGTAGCCGAACTCGTCAGCGATGTAATTCACCGTAGCGACGGTGCCGTTCGGGAGAGAAAACCTGGACGAGAACAGAGACAGCAATTTTAAGAATGTCCTCTTAACACACACACACACACACACACACACACACACACACACACACACACACACACACACACACACACACCACACACACACACACACACCGCACACACACACACACACACACACACACACACACACACCACACACACACTTCACATCAGGAAAAGTACACTAAGTAATCATATTGTAACTAAAACACAGTTGCCGGTTTTCTTCTATTGGCCAGCCATTAGCGTTGAGAGTTATGCGAAATTTGATATAGGGAATTAAAGATATTTATGTTAGATAAAAGGACACAAAGTGCAGCTAATGTGAAATTTTACTGTGGCAACGTTTTGCGAAACGTTGCCACAATAATGTCACATTAGTTGTACCTGTGTCCTTTACCTAACATATTGTCGGTAATTCTACCAACATTATTACAAGATGTTTTTCCCTGATGATGATTGGCCTCTACAATACATTTGTAGTTTTCATTATTATTATGTATCTATTGCTCACCTGTAGGAAAAGCCGGGATTCGAGAGTATACTTCCTGTATCGCGTTTAGCGATCATAAATAATAATAATAATAATAATAATAATAATAATAATAATAATAATAATAATAATAAATATTATTATTATTTTTATTATTATTGTTATTAATTATTAATTATTATTATTTTTATTATTATTATTATTATATTATTATTATTATTATTATTATTATATTATTATTATTATTATTAATTATTATTATTATTATTATTATTATTATTATTATTATTATTATTATTATTATTATTATTATTATTATTATTGTAATAAAAGTCATTATAACAAAATAAATAATTATAAGAGCATTAGCAACAACTAGCATCATCAACAACAACGAGCACAATCCTTCCCACCTGCAGGAGTCCTGGATGTTGTTCTGCCCTCCGGAGCCTGGAGTGCCCACCACCATCACTCTACCATTCTCAGACACAAATTCGTAGCTGAAGTTGCCGTCGCTGAAGTCCTTGCGGTTGTCCCAAATGATGGCGACCTGTGGCCGTACCTGTGGGGCAGCGACGGTGAGGGAGGTAAGGTAGGCGACAACATCTACCTCACTTTGGAAATTAAATTTCAAACGACGTTTCGGTCTGTCCAGGATGAACCGAAACGCCATGTAATATTTCATCTTTGGAGTGTGGGTTAATTGTGAATTCAACCACGGTTTGTATTCTTCGAGAATAAGAAAAACTGTGAGGTGAGGGGAGGAGGGGTATTCATACATATTCTTGATAGTATCTAAATATACATTCAGTGGCTAAGTGGGTATAGCAATGGACTTACAATTCTAGGGCCGTCGACTCAAACCTTGTAATTTTTTGAGAAAAATTACTGCCGTTTCAAATTTCCCGACAGTGTCCTTCCGGTATAACACACGTAGAACCGATAGCAACGACACGTAAAACTCTTTCCTGGAAAAACTACCAGAAAATATAAAAGAAGGGTAAACGAAGAGAGGACAGATGAGAACAGGAACAAAGACATAGAGTAGCACAAACGAAGCAACTAAAAAGACACAACAACAGTTACTGGAAGATTTAACTTCAAGACAACTACTGCAGGCTTTCTTATTCTTCAACGCTCATACTTACCGTCACCATCTTGGGTGTTTGTGAACAGCGTGAGGAAGGTAGCACCCACCTTTATATATGACGAACCTGCTGACCGCAGTTTTGGGGATCGTTACCATACCCAGGGGATGAGCCCCGGCGGTCTGGCCGGATGTACCTGCTCGTCTACTTTAGGAATGTGTTGAACCGCAACGCTAATGATAATTTTGTCTCCCTGTTTATTCTCTCTCTCTCTCTCTCTCTCTCTCTCTCTCTCTCTCTCTCTCTCTCTCTCTCTCTCTCCTCTCTCTCTCTCTCTCTCTCTCTCTCTCTCTCTCTCTCTCTCTCTCTCTTTCGTTACTTTTATTTTTATTCTTATTTTGCCTGGTTCTCTCTGGTAGCATCAGGCTCGGAGATGGGTGGAGAGATGCTGGAGTGACGAGTGTGTGAGGGAAGAGATGAAGGAGCTTCATCTGTAAGCTTCCGGTGTTATGGAAGAAGGAAATTCTTGAGACATTGAGAAAAACATCTGAGGAGGCAGCAGTCTTAACCCACACCTGCGACGTCTTTATTGCTACATTATTATTATTATTATTATTATTATTATTATTATTATTATTATTATTATTATTATTATTATTATTATTATTATTATTATTATTATTATTATTTTATTAACACATCGGCCGTTTCCCACCAAGGCAGGGAGGCCCGAAAAAGAAAAACTTTCATCATTCACTCCATCACTGTCTTGCCAGAGGCGCGCTTACACTACATTTGAACATCAAAATGGTATACAATACCGACAGGTTCGTAGGTAAGACACATAGGCAACAGTTAGGCAACTTTATTCCTAAACGTTTCACCTACACACTAGGCTTCTTCAGTCTACTTTCAGTATTCGACTGAAGAAGCCTACTGTGTAGGCGAAACTTTTCGGAATAAAGTTACCTAACTGTTGCCTATGTGTCTTACCTACCTACACTACAGTTATAAAATTGCAACATTAACACCCCTCCTTCAGAGTGCAGACACTGTACTTCCCATCTCCAGGACTCAAGTCCGGCCTGCCAGTTTCCCTGAATCCCTTCATAAATGTTAGCTTACGTACACTCCAACAGCACGTCAAGTCCTAAAAACCATTTGTGGGACACATGTGCAACAGTTGGGTATCTTTATTGATGTAACATTTCGCCTACGCAGTAGACTTCTTCAAATACAAAAGGAATAGTAGTAATGAAATAAAGATGATGTAATCAGTCTATCAACCTTGGGAGAAAAAGTATTTGAGGTGGTCAGTCCCTCAGCCTGGAGAAGAGTTCAACTTCATGGTCTGGAAAATTGAAAGTGCCAGACAGAGGCGGAGTCAGAGAGTAACTGTAAACACAAGACTGTCAAGAGCTTGTGTAAATGTAAGTGTAAATGTAAATGTAAGAAACTCATACGTCATCCTGCTAAACGTTAGCGTAGGATAACATGAAAAAAAAATGTTTACAACACACGCCAGACAAGTATTAGAATATGTAGGAGTGGAGAGGTGTCTGAGTCACATGTGTGAAGAAGTGGTGAGATGTCTGAGTCACATGTGTGAAGAAGTGGTGAGATGTCTGAATCACATGTGTGAAGAAGTGGTGAGATGTCTGAGTCACATGTGTGAAGAAGTGGTGAGATGTCTGAATCACATGTGTGAAGAAGTGGAGAGGTGTCTGAGTCACATGTGTGAAGAAGTGGTGAGATGTCTGAATCACATGTGTGAAGAAGTGGTGAGATGTCTGAATCACATGTGTGAAGAAGTGGTGAGATGTCTGAATCCACTGTGTGAAGAAGTGGTGAGATGTCTGAGTCACATGTGTGAAGAAGTGGTGAGATGTCTGAGTCACATGTGTGAAGAAGTGGTGAGGTGTCTGAGTCACATGTGTGAAGAAGTGGTGAGATGTCTGAGTCACATGTGTGAAGAAGTGGTGAGATGTCTGAATCACATGTGTGAAGAAGTGTGTGAGATGTCTGAGTCACATGTGTGAAGAAGTGGTGAGATGTCTGAATCACATGTGTGAAGAAGTGGAGAGGTGTCTGAGTCACATGTGTGAAGAAGTGGTGAGATGTCTGAGTCACATGTGTGAAGAAGTGGTGAGATGTCTGAGTCACATGTGTGAAGAAGTGGTGAGATGTCTGAGTCACATGTGTGAAGAAGTGGTGAGATGTCTGAGTCACATGTGTGAAGAAGTGGTGAGATGTCTGAGTCACATGTGTGAAGAAGTGGTGAGATGTCTGAGTCACATGTGTGAAGAAGTGGTGAGATGTCTGAGTCACATGTGTGAAGAAGTGGTGAGATGTCTGAGTCACATGTGTGAAGAAGTGGTGAGATGTCTGAATCACATGTGTGAAGAAGTGGTGAGATGTCTGAATCACATGTGTGAAGAAGTGGTGAGATGTCTGAGTCACATGTGTGAAGAAGTGGTGAGATGTCTGAGTCACATGTGTGAAGAAGTGGTGAGATGTCTGAGTCACATGTGTGAAGAAGTGGTGAGATGTCTGAGTCACATGTGTGAAGAAGTGGTGAGATGTCTGAGTCACACAAGCCAATCAGTTGCAAGTTACATTCACTCAAGAAGGAAGGAGCACTGCATCAGACTTACTGGCCCAAGCTAGTCAGGTCCAACTCACACCTACTCTTGTATCTAACCACTTCACTTCACTCACTAATAATAAACGTACCTGAGATATTTTAAACCTTCGTCTTCCAGGGTAAATCAGAATAACGATTTTGAGTACTGGTTTGCTGTTTATTCAATGTCATGCTGGGATTAGTTCCAAATTAATGAAAATTAAAACAATGAGATGTGGGAAACACAGAAATAAAAGCCTAGTCCGGACATGGATTTTAAATTTTCTTATATTTTCTATTTGTGTTTTTCGAGATGCCTTGAAGGTTAATCCCAGATGATGCCACGTCGGCGCTGCTCCTCGGCGTTGCGGATCTGCTCGATGGCGTGGTCGGGAAGTGGGTGAGGCGTGGGGACCAGTGGGGACTGGACGCGGAAGCCATTCTCGTCAGCGGTGTAGCGCACCTCAGCGACGCCGCCCTCAGGCAAAGGAAACCTGTTTATATATGATACTAATAAAATTATACTTCAAAGTGGCCAGAAAAAACAGGAAAGTTGTGTGATCTAAGCATGAAAAAGGAAAAACATATCGTTATACATACATACATATATATATATATATATTATATATATATATAATATTTATATAAAATATATATAAAATATATATTTTAAATATATAATATATATATATATATAATTGAATAAACATTAAAAAATGATGAAATTTATAATCATGTTGAAGAGATTGTTACAGACAACTCTTCATCGACACCATGCCCAGCCCTTCTAGGGCAGGGTAGGTGCCTGAGGCAGAGCTTGCAGCTCACAAGACTGTCATTCCCATTAGCCCCCTTGGGGCGGGGATGGCAGACCAGGGAGGCCTAGCTTCTCCCTACGAGCTCCGTGAGGGCAGGGAATGTGGCTAGGCCTGGGGACAGTTGGTCCCAAAGATGAGGGAGTGCTTGTACCTCCTCCCATGGGAGACTTAGGTCTCAGACACTCCCTAGAGAGGGAGCCAAGGCCGGGCCACCCCTTGGAAAAGGCCGGGCCGGGAGAATACCAGCGAATCAAGAAGAAGAAGAAGACAACTCTTCACTTCATTAACATAAAGCAACAAGGTTAACTAATTAGTATACGAAACGTCAGAATCCTTATCAATAAGAGTTTCATCATTATCATAATCAATCATCACCTGCACCATTACTTCACCTGTAGTATCCGGCCATGTTGCTGCCGCCGCTGACTCCCTGCTTGCCGGAACCATCCACGTAGATGCCGTTGTCACCCTCGTACTCAAACTTGTAGTTTCCGTCGCCTCGGTCCTGACGGTTGTCACGGACGATGGCGATGAAGCGAGGGTCTCTCAGCCGCCCGAACTGCGGGGCGGCGACGGCGACGGCCGCAACGACGGCCAGGCAAGCAACGACAACGGCCACCTGCGCCAAGGAGGAAGAGGACGGGGGAAATATTAATATCATTGGTGAGCTAAGAGCTGCGTTTACTCGTAGCGAGATTAAAAGATACTTTGTTCTTCTTGAACACGTAACGGCGACTGTTTTTTTTTTCTAATCAGCGCTCAGCCACTGAAATATTAACTCATCAACATACAAGGTAATGCGTTTTTGTCTGTAACATTAATCATCCGGTTTCAGATGGAAAATTGCAAATTCTTCGTCAATCGCTGTACAGGAGGCATACAGTACAAAAAAAAAAAAAAAAAAAAAAGATACACTTAATACGAAAAAAAAGAGAATTGAAATTTACAACAGTTAAAATAAATATAAGAAGACAAAACGAATACATAGTTTTTTCCAAGTACTACAAGCGAATATCGCATTTAAATAAATGAAATGAAGAAAACTGCAGAACAAGCTTTTCGTGAGATGACGTTTAGTTGTGTGTGAAGCTCCTCAGGTCATCGACGAAGCTCTACAAAGAACAAAACGCCGTCAAAATAAAAGCTTGATCTGCTCTAGTGTCTCTTCTTCATTATTGTCTGCAGCGCAATTTAATATTCACTGAAACAGATAAGAGACATGTGTAGTCAGCCACAGAACATGAAACTTGGATCAAAGACGTCCATCAGCTAGTTCCCAGTGGATCTTCCATACTTACGAGCTTCATGTTGACTCTCTGAGGTACTGGTGAAGACGATGCTCGTCACTTGGACTCAACATGTATATATACCCCTTGGGAGGCCACTTTTTTTTGCTAGGGAAGAGAAGGCATTACAAAATCTGAAATCTTAAAGGATCAATCCTCGAGGCGTGATATGGGGGCGGAGTAGAACATTAATGTACTTAAAGCCTTGCATTCCTGGATTCATGCATTGTGATCGAATACTAAACTGTGCTCGCCAACACCTCACGGAAGATGTCAATAAAAATACTTTAACGTGGAGAGTTCTTGCCCTGCTTGGTAAATCACTATTATTTACGAGTTCTTGCATCACTAAATTGCTGTCTTTGATGATTGACTATCCTGGGAAGTAGTGCATCCTTTGTTGCTTGGAGGAACTGGGGCAGTCGAGTCAGTTATCTTGTCCTTCATGGGACCAGGTTTACTCTATATGTTTCTTTTCACTCTTGCAAGGCTCTTCTGTCCCAGTTTGTGTCTACCTAAGTCTCGTAGGATTAGTAACATTGTTAAATCTTAGTTAGCTGCTGGTGCTACTCTGTCAAAGACTGAAGAAATGGTATTGGGGAAGGGGGGAAGGACACCTATGTACAATACAGTAACAGTCTGTCAGAAATCAGGAAGTTACACTATATCCAAATTGTTGATCAACAGGATTTTGCCCATTCTGAAATCCACCTTAACATCCTGTTGACAGATGCTTCTGAAACCCAACCATTTCTCCACATTGCACTACTGCTTATTATAACTACTGCTGTTGCTACTACTACTACTACTACTATAACTACTACTACTATACCTTCTACTACTACTACAACAACTACTACTGATATAACTACTACTACTACTATTATAATTACTACTACTACTATTATAATTACTACTGGTACTTTTATAACTACTACTATACTACTACTACTACTACTACTACTACTACTACTACTACTACTACTACTACTATAACTAATACTACTACCCTCTCGCAGCTTACCAAATGACTTCTGCCACTGTATATACTCTGTATTAGGACTAAAGAAGTCACTCGTGGCGAAACATTGCCTCTAATAAATGTCCTGAACTGTACATAAGTGTCTTTTTCCACATCTATCAACGATGTTTTGGATGACTTTATTGTTGTCCACATATTCCCATTGAGGTCAGTTGCTGCTGGACGACTGTACATCACTGCCACAATAATATATATCTCTTAAGTTATTACTATCCTGAAAATTAAATTAGTGAATCCTCTGCGGACTATTGCTTCTATTTTTTCTAAGCGTCTTATTTGGCAACAAAGCTATCACTTGGAGCTCCCTACGGAATACTGAACATGATAATGTCCCTGTTAGTGATTCTGCTATTGGTAATATGTCTGGATTTATTAATTCACGCTCTGATGGAGATTACCTTAGCATTTAGGTATAAAACTATGGGGCTCAATTTTAAATGATCTGCGACGACTTTTTTTTTTTCTGCCGGTATGGGAGAGGGAGGAGAGAACGAGGGGTAACAAATGTAAATGAAACTAGTTGATAAAGATATAAGAACAGCAATTTGAATCTTAATTTTCACAACGTTTCGACTGCGTATATTTCATTCTTTGAGCGATTTGAGAAAAGTATCACTGTATCCCTTAGCCTAGCCTACCTATATCCGTAGCCTAGCCTCCCTGTATCCGTAGCCACGCCTCCCTGTATCCCTAGCCTCCATGTATCCCTAGCCTAGCCTACCTGTATCCCTAGCCTAGCCTCCCTGTATCCCTAGCCTAGCCTACCTATATCCGTAGCCTAGCCTCCCTGCATTCCTAGCCCAGCCTCCCTGTATTTCTAGCCTAGCCTCCCTGTATCCCTAGCCTAGCCTACCTGTATCCCTAGCCTAGCCTATCTGTATCCCTAGCCTAGCCTCCCTGTATCCCTAGCCCAGCCTCCCTGTATCCCTAGCCTAGCCTCCCTGTATCCCTAGCCTAGCCTACCTGTATCCCTAGCCTAGCCTACCTGTATCCCTAGCCTAGCCTCCCTGTATCCCTAGCCCAGCCTCCCTGTATCCCTAGCCTAGCCTAGCCTACCTGTATCCCTAGCCTAGCCTCCCTGTATCCCTAGCCTAGCCTACCTATATCCGTAGCCTAGCCTCCCTGCATTCCTAGCCCAGCCTCCCTGTATTTCTAGCCTAGCCTCCCTGTATCCCTAGCCTAGCCTACCTGTATCCCTAGCCTAGCCTACCTGTATCCCTAGCCTAGCCTCCCTGTATCCCTAGCCCAGCCTCCCTGTATCCCTAGCCTAGCCTCCCTGTATCCCTAGCCTAGCCTACCTATATCCCTAGCCTAGCCTACCTGTATCCCTAGCCTAGCCTACCTGTATCCCTCGCCTAGCCTCCCTGTCTCCCTAGGCTAGCTTCCCGGCATTCCATAAGCCTAGCCTCCCTGTAATCCATAGGCCTAGCCTCCCTCTACCTTAAATCACGCAAAAGGAATAGTGCAGAGTGCGGTGTAAGTTTATAATGCAGTTAAATATCAGCGTTGCAAACTGAAGTCAGTCAGAAAATGCCTCGGCAGCAAGCTGTCGCAGTGTCAGTAAAAATTGCAAATTACCATCTCAGGAGCCGAGAATCAGTTCGAGCCTTCCACTACATAAGACGCATCTGCTTTGAAGGTTAAAAGTCGACCGGTAAAGGCATTCTCCAGTTACCTCATCGAGACCACTGTCCCATGAAGCACCAGTGATGTAAGTTTTGAACCCCACGGTTCGAGAACAATAAAGCCTTTCTCTGGGTAGCATACGGCAGGGGTTTAAATTATAAAGCCGACCAGGAGAGATATTCTCCATTTATCGCAGAGTTTCCAACCATTCCATTTTTTTTAACTACCGTATTTTCCGGCATATAAGGCACGCCTTTTCTCGCAAAAAGTCTTGGAAAATCATCCTGTGCCTTATATGCTCAAGATCATTGTAAAGGGTAGACTTTGGGTTACGTTTACCGTCGACTAAATATAATTACCGATTTACCGTTATGAGATTTCGGAGTCGCGCGCCTTATATTCCGGAAAATACGGTATTTTAATTGGCAAATTGGTACTAACACACTCAAAGCCTAAACCCAAAGGGTATTATAATTTTTTAGTAAGAAGTAACAGCCATGAAAAAACGATGCTGTTCAGAAATGATATACTCGATTTATTGCATTAAACAAATACTGCACCATCTTGTCGGCATTGTATACCTGTATTATAACAATACTGCACCAAATTTACGATAAAACTGACAGATTTACACTCACAAACTCCAACAGCACACCCAACTAGGTTGTTAGTAGGACCCAAAAGTGGTGAAAATTTTTGAAGTCGGTCAGAAGAGGCTTTTCCAAGTTATCACTTGGGAACCAAATCCGAGTATGATTTATACAAGGCTTACCAGAGGCCACCTGCACATGGCAATGGTTACAAGGACCTTCCGCAAGTTATTATAGTCTACCAGCTCTGAAAAGTTGGATCCGATCGTATGATGAAGAAAGAGAACAAACAGTATTTATATATGTGCCGCCTATAAGACTCCACGAGAAGATGGGTTCGCTCAACTTGTAAAACCTTAAAGAACTGTTACTGTACCACCATGAAGTACAACTGTTACTGTACCACAATGAAGTACAACTGTTACTGTACCACCATGAAGTACAACTGTTACTGTACCACCATGAAGTACAACTGTTACTGTACCACCATGAAGTACAACTGTTACTGGTACCACCATGAAGTAAAAACTGTTTACTGTACCACCATGAAGTACAACTGTTACTGTACCACCATGACGTACACCTGTTATTGTACAGCCATGACGTACAACTGTTATTGTACCACCATGACGTACACCTGTTATTGTACCACCATGACGAACACCTGTTATTGTACCACCATGACGTACACCTGTTATTGTACCGCATGACGTACAACTGTTATTGTACCACCATGACGTACACCTGTTATTGTACCACCATGACGAACACCTGTTATTGTACCACCATGACGTACACCTGTTATTGTACCACCATGACGTACAACTGTTATTGTACCGCCATGACGTACAACTGTTATTGTACCGCCATGACGTACACCTGTTATTGTACCACCATGACGTACAACTGTTATTGTACCACCATGACGTACAACTGTTATTGTACCACCATGACGTACACCTGTTATTGTACCACCATGGCGTACAACTGTTATTGTACCACCATGACGTACAACTGTTATTGTACCACCATGACGTAAGACTGTTACTGTACCACCATGACGTACACCTGTTATTGTACCACCATGACGTCACCTGTTATTGTACCACCATGACGTACAACTGTTATTGTACCACCATGACGTACAACTGTTATTGTACCACCATGACGTAAGACTGTTACTGTACCACCATGACGTACACCTGTTATTGTACCACCATGACGTACACCTGTTATTGTACCACCATGACGTACACCTGTTATTGTACCACCATGACGTAAAACCGTTATTGTACCCCCATGACGTACACCTGTTATTGTACCACCATGATTTTACAACTGTTATTTTTCCACCATGACGTACACCTTTTTATTGTACCACCATGACGTACACCGTTAATTGTACCACCATGACGTAAGACTGTTACGTACCCCCAAATGACGTCACCTGTTTATTGTACCCCCATGACGTACAACTGTTATTGTACCACCATGACGTACACCTGTTATTGTACCACCATGACGTACACCTGTTATTGTACCACCATGACGTACACCTGTTATTGTACCACCATGACGTACACCTGTTATTGTACCACCATGACGTAAGACTGTTACTGTACCACCATGACGTACACCTGTTATTGTACCACCATGACGTAAACTGTTATTGTACAACCATGACTACACCTGTTTTTGTACCAACCATGACGTACACTGTTAATTGTACCCCCATGACGTAAAACCTGTTATTGTACCACCATAAACGTACACCTGTTATTGTACCACCATGACGTACAATTTTAAATTGTACCACCATGACGTACACCTGTTATTGTACCACCATGACGTACACCTGTTATTGTACCACCATGACGTAAGACTGTTACTGTACCACCATGACGTACACCTGTTATTGTACCCCCATGAGGGTACAACTGTTATTGAAACACCCTTAAACGTAAACCTGTTATTGTCCACCTGGACGTACAACTGTTATTGTACCACCATGACTTACACCTGTTATTTGTATCACCAGACGTCACCTGTTATTGTACCACCATGACGTACTCGTTATTGTCCACCATGCTGCACCTGTTTATTGGGTACCACCAGGACGAACCACTGTTATTGTACCACCATGACGTCCACCGGGTTTTTTGTACCACCATGGACGTAAAAACTGTTTATTGTACCACCATGACGTACACCTGTTATTGTACCACCATGACGTACACCTATTATTGTACCACCATGACGTAAGACTGTTACTGTACCACCATGACGTACACCTGTTATTGTACCACCATGACGTACAACTGTTATTGTACCACCATGACGTACACCTGTTATTGTACCACCATGACGTACAACTGTTATTGTACCACCATGACGTACACCTGTTATTGTACCACCATGACGTACACCTGTTATTGTACCACCATGACGTACAACTGTTATTGTACCACCATGACGTACACCTGTTATTGTACCACCAGGACGTACAACTGTTATTGTACCACCATGACTTACACCTGTTATTGTACGACCATGACGTACACCTGTTATTGTACCACCATGACGTACAACTGTTATTGTACCACCATGACGTGCACCTGTTATTGTACCACCAGGACGAACAACTGTTATTGTACCACCATGACGTACACCTGTTATTGTACCACCATGACGTACAACTGTTATTGTACCACCATGACGTACACCTGTTATTGTACCACCATGACGTACACCTGTTATTGTACCACCATGACGTAAGACTGTTACTGTACCACCATGACGTACAACTGTTATTGTACCACCATGACGTACAACTGTTATTGTACCACCATGACGTACACCTGTTATTGTACCACCATGACGTTACAACTGTTATTGTACCACCATAAACGACACCTGTTATTGTACCACCATGACGTACACCTGTTATTGTACCACCATGACGTACAACTGTTATTGTACCACCATGACGTACACCTGTTATTGTACCACCAGGACGTAAAACTGTTTTTTGTACCACCTGACGTACACCTGTTATTGTACCACCATGACGTTACACCTGTTATTGTCACCACCATGACGTACAACTGTTATTGTTCCCAAACCATGAACGTACACCTGTTATTGTACCACCATGACGTACACCTGTTATTGTACCACCATGACGTAAGACTGTTACTGTACCACCATGACGTACACCTGTTATTGTACCACCATGACGTAAGACTGTTACTGTACCACCATGACGTACACCTGTTATTGTACCACCATGACGTACAACTGTTATTGTACCACCATGACGTACACCTGTTATTGTACCACCATGACGTACACCTGTTATTGTACCACCATGACGTACAACTGTTATTGTACCACCATGACGTACACCTGTTATTGTACCACCAGGACGTACAACTGTTGCTCTACCACAATGATGTTAAAATGCTCTATAAAATGCTCTATAAACCAGCTTTCCAAATGTTTTCTTTTTCAGTTATGTTTTTATTTCAACTTTTTTTTATATAATCTTATTAAAATAAAAAGCTTTCTAAATTACGAAACTGGCATTTGCGTAATCCCGGCTGAGGTGCTGAGGTGCTGAGGTGCTGAGGTGCTGAGGTGCTGAGGTGCTGAGGTACTGAGGTGCTGAGGTGCTGAGGTGCTGAGGTGCTGAGGTGCTGAGGTACTGAGGTGCTGAGGTGCTGAGGTGCTGAGGTGCTGAGGTACTGAGGTGCTGAGGTACTGAGGTGCTGAGGTGCTGAGGTGCTGAGGTGCTGAGGTACTGAGGTGCTGAGGTGCTGAGGTACTGAGGTGCTGAGGTGCTGAGGTACTGAGGTGCTGAGGTGCTGAGGTGCTGAGGTACTGAGGTGCTGAGGTGCTGAGGTGCTGAGGTGCTGAGGTGCTGAGGGGACATCTTGCACACTGGCTCGTACACGGTCCAGTAACACTCCGAAGCTTCCAGTATTTAAGATAATTGAGCGTTGGGGGTTTGAAGACGATCGGAGGATGCATTTCGGCATTATCCCATGAAAACCAGTGTTTCATTTTTCATAGATAATTCAATAAAAATGATAAATTGTCCTCTGCACGACCCAGGATTAAGATCAAGGACTCAGTTTCTCTGGTTAAGGTAAACTTGTGTTAAGGTTTCAAGATTATCAGAACAAGCATTCTTTATTAACTGAATGGGAGCCAGTTTAATACATGTGACAAATTACAACTAAAACAAGCCAAAATCAGAGAAAACCTTCTAGTGATCTAAGTTCATCATCACTGAAAGTTTGAAACCGATCAGAAGAGAGATTCATCAGTAATTGTTAAGAATTCAACGATTCCAGTTTCATTTATTAGATTCAGAAACTGGCTAATTTTCCTTTACCACACCTAAACTTACGGACTGCCATCATAATGACACGATACTGCCATCATATTGACACGATAC